TGAAGCATTCGTGTGCGTATTGATAGCTTTTCGAGACAACAGAAAGAGCAAAAGCACCACACAAATCCACTTTCTCGCCAACGTAGCAACTCGCGTCCTTAATCTTTCTGGTTGTCATCAACGAGATCAGACTGCGTCAAGACATTGAGAGAAGAATGAAGAAAAACAGGGAGGAAAGACCAAGGACATGTGCATCCTTTTTTTCCCTACTGAGAGGAGTACTGCGATTTAATCGTTTTCACAAGACCATTATGCACTATGACGCTAACCAAGGTTTAATTGCCCATCATGAAATAAAAATCACTCAGATTCGACTGAGAAATCAGGCCATTCTATTTGAGGGAACTTACCTCGTGGGATCTGGTGTTGTCCAACGGAATCTGGTTCACTTCCGCTTCCTGCCGTCACCTGCCGGCCCTGTCAATTTATGTGATTTCACTTAGTCCACGCTGCTTCTGGATTATAATAATTAAGCAACGGGATCTTCATACCTGTAGAAAGTCCAAAGCCATGGATTTGGCTAGTGTGATTTCAGCCTTGCTCCACAGTAGAAACATACACTTATGAATAAAAACTCTTTCGAAGAAGAGTCTGTCTGTAGAACAGAGAGCAACAATTAGAATTCCTATGTTGCTAGGTTGCTTATGCATTCAGGATCTGTTGTGTTGCCTCCATTCTGCCTTACTTCAATGAGACCATTTTCCTCATCTCATTAAAGTATTCTAAAATCCGTATGAACGTATTATGGGAAAAAGAAATGCATTAAAGGAACGAAGTATCAAAATAAATATTGTTCCGAGCACAATTACTCATTCCATTCGAATTCCATGGATGCAATATTAAAATTCAAACGTCATTTCTAATATGCTGAAGATCCATTTAGATTCCTGAAATAAAAATTTTCCAGGTCCAAAAATGGGGATATCTCCTTTTCAATTAGTTCATTCCAGTCGTTCACCTATTACTACCCCTATTTTTTCATGCGTCAACCGGGGTTGGAGGTCTAACGGGTAAGAGGCTAAAATGTGATGAAATTGCTGTCCTACTCAGAAGAATGGCGCGTGCGAAGCCGATCCAGGGTCGTTTCTAGGCAGCACGTAGCATTCGAAATATATTGAGTAGGGGGGAAACGCATTAATCTTCTTCGTTTGAATTTTCTTTTAGAACAATGTTCATGAAAAAAATGAAAATCAATGTTACTAGGCCACCAAGGTCTGCGTTGACGTCAATGCAGTTCATCTAAATGTTTCACAGTGGACCCGCTCGCTCCCACCTAAGTCCTTGCAGAGTATCCAGTCATGAAAATAGAACCTCGCAGGTCCGGGAAGAAAAACTCATCATCCTTGGGTTCCTACACCTATCGCGAGATGTCGCATCTCTCGAATTGATCCCATATTTATTTGTCCATCCTGGACAGAGATACGAGAATGTGACATCAGAATCTCAGGAACTGTCCCTCAGAACGTGCACCATCAATTGTGTGCAGTGGGAACCGATTCCCTGCTAGGCCTGGAATTATCAGGACACCGATCGCTCGTGCTAGTTGACTCCCAACAGGGTGAGCGGGCTCGTGGATGACAATAGATAAGGTGCCTACGTCCAGAGTGGGTCTAAAGAATGGAAACTTTATGTCGTCAGATTAGGCAACGTGACCGTGACCGCCATATTCCGAAATACCGTGTTGCGTCTGAGAGAGTATAAGAAGATCGAGATTCCAAAGGTGTCTTTCGACGGCTGGAGTGGAGAATACCCAGCACCAAAAGGAGGGATCGTTACGTTCCGTTGTGAACATCCAAAAGGATTCTCGGATTGATTCGCTCTCCACACAGAGGAACTGTTTTTCATTGCTTTGAATTTTTAAAATTTGAGCGGTCAATAAAACGTTCCCAGTACGTTCACTCAAGGACGTTAATGGAACAATGGCAATAAGTTGAGTAAAACATTCATTGAACACGTTCGGGTACAACTAGGGTGGTAGTCTCTGAACATCATGGTGACTCCTTCCACGACAACAGAACACTTCGTTACCTCTGGTTTACAGCAGGTTTACCTGCAACTAGTAAATAGCTAAATACCTTTTGGCGACAAGCTCCTGGTTCATAGTGGGGACTTCAGAAAAGTCATTCACATCGTTCGCAACGGCAATAAGTAAGCCATCCTTGCCGCTTGCCTTTTTGGCCACTATTCATGACCCTGAAACATTAAATAAACACGAGAACGGAACGGGATCAGTTCTCAGAAAGACCGTTGTCTGTCGGAGAAGGCCGCCTCTCGATTTTGAATTAGATCTCTGATTTCGCTGCTGTGCTACATCAATAATGCGCGGTTAATGACAACATCATGAACAATGCCTTCGGCAAAAATATCGATCTTACACACCTTGATTTAATACAAAACGAGACAATCCTTTTCCCTAAGAATGAAAAGGTAAGGAATGGAAAGAAGTTCTAATTCGAGTAGCAGTTGAATCCGAGATCTACATCGTTATCGAAATCTGTCTTATGTGATGTGATGAGGAAAATATTACTTAGTGGATATTTACAACAGTCTGACCCCATTTGAAATGCCACCTCATGAGTTGAAACTCAAATCTGGTGCCGTCATCAAGCTCCTTCGCAGCTTCAAATAACACATCACATAACATAACAAGGGGTATGCAATGGAACGCGTATGATTGTCCGTCTCATAATGAACAACCTAATCGATGCCGAAGTGATAATTGGAGGTGCGAATGGGGAAACGAGTACTCATACCATGGATTGACCTGGCTCTTTCCGACGCGAACATGACCTCCACTCTAAAACCCACCAGCCCCTCCCAATTCAACTGGCTTTCTCCATGACCATCAACAAGGCGCACGGTCAAACCTTCAACTGAAGAGGGATTTCCTACCTAAGCAAGTGTTCAGCCATGGCCAACTGCATGTAGCTTTCTCACGAGTCCGATCTTTTGACTGCGCCACGATGAAGCTTCTTAACTCTTCTAAGCAAAGTTAAAAAAGAAATTGTTCACAATTCACACTGACTGTTGTCTACGATAGCTCAATCCGGGACGAATTCATGGAGATCGCATGCATCGTCAGTTCCTCCTAATATATTCATGTCAGGTCATTTGACCCAGGTACTGGCTTGTTAGGGATAAGGATGGATCGTTGGTTTGCTGAGTGATTAGAACCAAGTGAATTATTACATCTTTCCTAGGTTAAGGGGATTCGTCCATCTCCGTGGTGGAGATGGACTTCGCGAAAGATACGGACAGAGTCGCGATTAATACATGTGGTCAGGATCCCGATATACAGGGTGGGCCAAAAGTTTTTGCCCCTGCATAAAAATGTGAATATCTCCTGAACGGTTTGGGCTACAGAGTTGAAAAAAAAACTAAAAGAAACTTCATTTCATCTTTTTTCTGAAAATATTTTGTTTTAGGTTCCTACATTCATTTGGAGATGAGTCATGGCCGTTTGAAAAAAACATACAGAAAAAAAAAGTTTCCAAAACGAACCTATACCGTGCCGTCCACGGAAATCATCCTCAGCAGCTGGCTTCAAGGTCACGCACGCTATCGTTTTCTTCCTTACTAATTGCTCCCTACCTTCTTTCCCTTCTTCATAATGTGAAGAATGAAAATTTGAAGACTTTGATGCTTGATTTGGATAACCGACCAGCAGAAGATCGTCACAAAAGTTAAACGACCTCCAGTGGTCCACTCTGCGCGTTGTGATGAGTGCTCGTCTTTGCAGTGTTAATTTTTTTAATTAACCTTTTTTTACCTCTTATTCAGAAACCCTTACAGAGAAAATGGGTACGAACCGTGTTCTAACTGAGAGTGATAGAGTTTTAATCCAGTCGCTTCGTGAAGAAAAATGATTTACCTTGAACCAAATCTTGCATGAATATCCCAATCGAAAATGGAAAAAAAAGACTGTGTGTTATATCTTGCGAAAACTGTGTGAAACTGGCAGTGCTGAACGTCTTCCAGTCACAGGCCGTGCCTGAAGAGCAAGAACGCCAGAAAACATTGACGCTGTGACCAATTTTCCCTGTAAGGGTTTCTGAATAAGAGTTAAAGAAAGATAATAATAAATTAACACTGCAAAGACGAGCACTCAGCACAACACGCGGACAGACCACCGGAGGCCTTTTAACTTTTGTCACGATCTTCTGCTGGTTGGTTATCCAAATCAAGCATCAAAGTCTTCAAATTGTCATCCTCCACATTATGAAGAAGGGAAAGTAGGTAGGGAGCAATTAGTAAGGAAGAAAACGACGGCGTGCGCGACCTTGAAGCCAGCTGCTGAGGATGATTTCCGTGGACGGCACGGTATAGGTTCGTTTTGGCAACTTTTTTTTCGGTATGTTTTTTTCAAACGGCCATGACTCATCTCCAAATGAATGTAGGAACCTAAAGCAAAACATTTTCAGAAAGAAGATGAAATGAACTTTCTTTTAGTTTCTTTTTCGACTCTGTAGCCCAAACCGTTCAGGAGATATTCACATTTTTATACAGGGGCAAAAACTTTTGGCCCACCCTGTATATTGACCTGTTTCTTGATCACATGCTAGGAGGCTGAAATTCGAACTAATTTTTTTGCCCGAGAATAATTGGAAGATCTTGTTGGAGTCAGATGGAACCCTTTATCATAGGCCTTCCAAGAGGAAGTACCTATGAAGGAGGCTCCATGGTTCTATCTCACTTACAACCTGATAGAATGCACAGGAACTGAAACATATTTAGGCCTTTAAGTCTTACATTGCAAGTATTCATGAACTACCATGTCTACTTCAAGCATTAACTTCATCAAATGATGTCACGTACAACCTGCAGAATCCTCTGAAGTTTGACCCTCTATTTCTCAAGTTAGGAAATTGTCACATAGAACCTTCTTGAACTGATGTGATGTGATACATTTTTTTTTTCCAAAAAAAATTCTATCTAGGACTTGAGTGCAGGCAGTAATTGGTTGAAAGTGAGTCTTTTTTTACCCCTGGATTCATTCTCTGTAGGAACTTTCCCATTGGTGATGTTCGCTGGAAGTCTTCTTTTCTTGGAACCTGATTGTTTGGATGGAATATCAAAGGAAAAGAAGACCACATCAAGTACTCAGAGAGATCCAATGAAAAAGACCAAAGGTAAAACCAAAGATAACAAAGATAAAAAAAAGACTAAAGATAACAAAGGTGAATCTTTGTTTTACAAGCCAGTTACCCTCTTTTGCCAACATCACACGTCAATAGCTTTTGAGTGTAAACCTGGTGCTCATCAGAGGCTAATAATGTCCTTTCTATGCTCTTTGTCTACATGCACATTTCCTTTGTCTTCTTTCCAGGAGAGCGAGGAGGAGGGGTGTCCTTGAAGACAATCACTGCTTTAGTGGGAATTTCATTCCATTTTCTCCTCCAGTGTTTCTTGCCATACTCCCAATTTCTTTTTCAGGTGGGTTTCATTGTCTTCATCTCTTGCAAATGTTTTACAGCACTTGGATTGAGATTGCAGTGAAATATTTTGACTTAATTATTATTCTAGGGGCTCAATGGATGGACTGGAGCAGGGCTGTATGGGTATTCATGGAACATGATGGTCCATTACTATTATCTGAAGCCAATGGAAGTCTCCCTGTATGAACGACCATCCCAGTCTTGGACTCATTCTGTAGAGGTGAGATAATTTTTCAGACCTATCAATTGTCTATTTAGAGTGGAAGAGGTGTATGCAGCAACAGTTTTATTATGATCCAAAAAATTATTTTTTCCTTCAAGAAAAAGGAAGGTGAGTGACTCTAGGAATATACAATTCTGAGCCCTCCAAATTATAGGGAGGAGGGATGATGAGCTGGGGAATAGAGGATTGCATTGCAAGACTGTATCTAAGATTTTTTGTAGTAAATCCTGACTAAACTTGTCCTGGTGGCAATAGCACATGTTTTAATTTTTGATGAGTTTGTATGTGTGATAAGTATATATACTTGGCTGATCAAAAAGGAACAGAAATTTCGCAAGTAACACTTGTTGCAAAGTGGACATAGTTGACACCTGCAGAGTGGCCAACAATTTCGATGAGTGTTATTTGAGCTGCAGCAAAAGTTCTGTTCCTTTTTGATCAGCCTAGTACATGATGGGTTTGGATGTATGATGATGCCTAGGGGCCCAATGGCTCATTCAGACAATCCTTTTCTCATGCTCCTCAGTCAGGACATCTACCACTGAAGGCATTGGTGGAATCCCCTCTGGCTATGAAGCGCTATGTAGAATGCATGGCTTCCAGGCATGCAGACAAGACCAGACTGGGTTTGGCTGACATAGAAGTCTACATCTCCCTTCCTGTGTCAATTGGTGATGTACCAATTCAGCCAGTATACAATGCATCAACAGACATCCTTCATGCAGATTGGTCTCTATGGGAACGACCTAACTGGCTACTTCAACCCAGGGCCACTCACCTTGGAGCCTTTATCAGGCATGACATGCTCACCTGTAGTCAGAGTTCCCATGTCTCTGAATTCCATCTTTTAGATCCAGGTAAGAAATGGTTCTTAATCATTCAATTACCCCCATGAATCTGTTTCAAACTGTGAACTAAGCCTTAACTCTCTCTAAGGTATCAGTGTGATATTTTGCTGAAGCAGTGTTTCCATGATTCAGTTAGAGATCTTGGGGTACATTTCCCTTTCCATGCTGAGGACTGTGAAATTTGTCACTAAAAGCCTGATTTATTTTTTTGGCATCAAAAGTCCATTATGGACCCCACTAAAGGGTACTAGTTCGCCATTTTTTATTTGTGAGTCTGATTCAACCAGTCCACTTCACATCAAACTCTGCAGTGTTGAAGGTTTTTAACTAAAGTAACTGAAGGAAAGACACATTTCCAGAAAGGAACTGATCCAAAACCAAGAGGGTGAAATGAATATGAAAGGAATGTAACTAGAGCTGAAGTGCTATATCAAGTAGTTCAAGAACTCTACCAGAGAGAGACCTTTACCCCAAAGGATATTTCACTCCACCTATTTCTTAAGAAAAAGAAAAAAAAGACATGTGAAAAGCATGATGACATGGAAAGAAACCATGAAATGACCTGAGAGGCTGGTTGAAATGGGACCTTTTTCCAAAAGGTTATGTTCCAAATTCCTAGAAAAAGTTTTTGTTCTTGATTCCAAGTTAGACACAGATTTTTTGATATCCTGATCTAAGCTGGTGGATTTCAAAGTGGATGATCATGTGTCCACTTTGACTCATGAAAAATATTCTATGATATGGTTAGCTGGATTAGGTACAAAAGGTTTCTAATGAGACTTAAATGACCCAAAACATGAGCTCCATCATTGGATCTTTTTAAAGATACTTCTTTATGATGGATTGTATTAATATTTCATAAGTATCATATTGTCAGTAGAAGCATCTAGAATATACAGGGTGGGTAAAATAAAATTACAGTTTTCAACCTTATTGCACTTGCATTTATTTTAATGCCATTTGTGGCATTTGAAAAAGTGAAATGAATAAGCTTTAAAATGGTATACTTAAATTTCAAGAAATTCAGGAACTTATATAGACACCAAGCAAAAATTATGTTGCCACAGGATGGGATATCGATGGACATGCTGGACTAAGGGTCATATGCTGTCTGCATCTGAGTGCATGGCAACACATCTCTTCTTTGTTGTTTATATGAGTTCCAGAATTTCTGAAACTGCCAAAGATATTTGAAATGTACATACACCATTTTAATGCTTATTCATTCCACTTTCAAACACTGCAAACTGCATTAATATGTGTGCCATGAGCAGGTTAGGAAAACCCTTGCTAACCTACGAACAAGGTTCGCAGGAATGGAGATGTGCTGGCAGGTGGGGCTGGCCCAGCCTGCTTGGCCTGCTTGCAAATCCTTCCTGGGAAATTCTGATTTGCTGCCTCAGGTTCACAGAAAAAATATATATATTTTTTTTCCTACACTGGCCATAAATGAAGTGTTGTGCTGTTGAAAACTGTCAGGATATTTTTTTTTTTGGCCCATCCAGGTCAGAGAGGTATTTTTAGGTCAGTATCACATGGACTGCCAGGATTTAACCTTTCATACCCATGTGATGGTGTTAGAGGAGCTGTTAAAGTACAGTTCTTGAATGATTTTCATACAAAAGGATGCCATAGGCACAACCCTGGTTTATTTCCTTACACATGATTGTGGAACTGTATCATCTGTTTTCCAAGACTTGATGAGAATGTTGTAATATGAATGTAGCCATTTTCTAATGAAGATGTGTAGGGAATTTCCCTGGAGAATCTAAACTCTGATGTAAACAGGGGATTCAGTTTTTCATTAATATGTCTGATAGAGCAGATATTGTGCAAATCATATGCAAATAATCTTGAGATTCATCATTTGACCCATTCATGGCATACAAATATCTACCACAACATGTGCCACTTCACAGAAAATAAATTGATGCTCCATGTGATGCCAAGTACTTTACATAAGTTGGTTCACCGTGTCATCATGGTTCAGTGGAAGGGGCCCAGGCGTACACAGGAGGTCCAGGTTCAAATCTGACCGGCAGCAGGCGGTATTCTGCTGGGCTGACAGTTTACCCAGCTGCTTTCAGGTACTACCTGCTCTCCCTTGAGCTAAAGCATAGACCACTCTGCTCCATTGTGTGAGAGGTAGGGGCTTGGTGCACCTCAATAGCACCAGCCACATCGGTCCTGGTGGCCTGATGTGCAGCAATGGAGGGCCCCTGGCCAGAGCAGCATCGAAGTTTGCCACCACCTTCCCTGGGCCTATGAAAACAGGATTCATTATGACAGGAAGTGTGGGAAGGTGGGGCAATGCCGTCAGGGATGTCCGATTAGAATTCCCTTCCTCTACTCTGTGTTGCCACTTGTGGCATTAGTCCATGTCTATGTATGTCTGTCCCAGTCCATGTTTAAAAAATAATAATAATAAAATACAGTCAACTCTTGATATACTGTCACTGTTGGTTTTCACCGATTTCAGCACTATATCAAAAAGCTTTAAAAATGAAAATTTCTGAAATAACTCAAATATAAAATAGAATTAGTATTTTAAAAATCCACTTTAATACAGCCATGCTGCCATTGGAGAACAAAAACTACACAGCTTTGAAAATTGATTCGCAATGTTTTGCTGACTTTTGGCTGCATTCACCTCCTTGTAATGACACACTTCTACTTTTTCCCTCACACTTATAACTGTCCTTTTCCCCATTACTTGATAATGAACACACTTGAACAATCGTCTGGAGGAACTTTGAACTGAAAGAGGCGTTTCCATTCTCCAAAAGAAAGAAAAGGAGAGGCAGGATTAGGTCAGGTTAAGAGACTTCTTACCCCTCCCTCTAATCTCTGGCGTCCGTGCCAGAGCGAAGTCATCCCTCACAATCTCATTATCAAACGATCAAAAGGAAAGGCTGACAGCATGTCATTTTTTCCCACAACAGTAGTGCATGGTATGATCATTGTAGCTGGTACAGTATGCTGCTTGGCACTATATCAAGTATGACTTATGTTGAATAAGGCATGTTTGTGCAAGGCAAGGTATTGGTGGATGGCAGCTTGCAAGGGTGATGCTATAACGGGGGAGTGCCAATGATAAGTCTATGGGGAAGATTCGTTCGCAGGAAAGAGTTGGCAGTATATCGGGTGGCGCTATATCAAGGGTTGACTATACATAAGTTGGTTCGATAGTAGGTTTGATAATTGCATATAGTTCTATACAAGTAATAGGGGCATTGATGGGTAGTGTAACATCAGTGTCCCTGACAATAGGATGGTGATCAAGATGAAATATTGTTTTTGTCCCAAAGTCCTCTATGAAAGACTCTTGAAGATAGGGATAAAATAGGTATTTTTGTGATTGAGAGTTTTTTTGCTGCAAAAATTCAATCATGTACATTTATAAGCTAATGCAAGATTTCAGTCGGCATTACTTAGTACCTACATGTATTTCCAGTTTCAAGGTATGGATTCACCAGGATTCACTAAATGGAAACTCACATCCAATTTGCATCATCCATTTGCTAGGACCAGACATAAGCATTCTGTCTATTTTCCTACCCCATTAAGTAAGTTTAAATGTTGTATGTTGTGGAGTAATCATAGTTTTAGTGCTATTTCCTTAAATTTTTTTCTGGCAGAGATGTTAACTGAATCACTCAATATGTGGAGGTAGTTGGTGATCTAGATATGTGTTCCTAATCCTGGTCACATCAAATTTTTTGTAACGTTGCAGGGAAACAAGTTGATTTCAAGTTCAGTGATTGTGAGGCTGCATCTATTGAATCAGTGGAAGGGATCTTAGATGTGGATTGCTTCCCTGGCGACTACGAGAAGAGGGCAATCCACCAGGGACACAGGTACCTGATCCCAAAGATCCCCACCTCATGCACCCTTTCCACAAGTTCTCATCCATATGCCATTGCTCGACTCATGTACCTTTCATCAAAGTGTGGGAAAGGCTCTTCTCTCAGAATCCCCTCCCTGAGCGATATGACAGAATGGACCTCCCTCCTCCTCCATTCTGTTGGGGAGACAATCAAGGAACTGCCAGTCCTCTTGGATGCTGCTTTGTCTAATGATCCTTCTATCTGGAACCATATCTCCACATGATGCCTTTTGTATTTCTCTCATAAGCCATACCTTGTTACTGCCAGTAAACTAAGTAAAACTGATTGTTGTGTAATGTCCATAAAGTCAAGCCCTGTGGCTAACTTTTTTAAATTAGAGCTATGGGGTAGCGGTAGGTTCATGCAAATGCCAGATAGGAAAAATGAACCAAATTCATAGTTTTTTCCCCGTTTTCTTCAGTTTTTTTAAAATTATTATTATGCTTGACATCTTTGATACCTGATGAAATGAGAAGGGAACTTTTTCACAGACTCTGGCTAATGTCTAGGTGGCATGGACCATGGGGAGGGGATTCCAAGAGAAATGTCTCAAGGTTTGTTACTAAAAGTATTAAATAACAGCACCACATGGGCTATTTTGCCAAATCATCAACCTTTAGTTCAACTGTTTCTTAATATTTCCCTCATGCTGCTTTAGCGACTCTTCTTGAAATGTTCTGATCTTTCAATTTACGTGAGAGCAAAAATTTGTTTTATTTTAGTTCTCAATATGTTGAACATAATAATAAAAAATTGGTGAAAATAAGAAAGAATGCATATTTGGCCTTCTCTAGCATTCACATGTTTGCAATACCTCACTGCCACCCTTTGATCATGACAATAGGAGCACTAAAGGGGCTTGACCCCAAATTCAGGTTTTCCTAATGCTGGGTTGCTCACCCATTGAAAATTACCCAATTTCCATCCCACTGCATATAATTTGAAAATGGGATGTAATATGCATTTTACTCATCATCACATACAATGCTTATATGTCCCTCTCTAGCTATAGAAGGACCAGAAAGCTTGAAAACAAAGAATTGACTGGCAGGAAGCATATACATGCTGCAATTGTGTTGCAGCAAAAGATCCATGAGCCTGGGTGTGATTTTTTGAATCCACATGCATTTAAATGAAAATTCAAGCTGTGTGACAATCCATTCAGCTCTTAGTAATAAATAGGTACATTCATGGCATGTGGTACCTGACCTAAGTTCTCCTCAACTGCACATGTGTGGTGCTAAGTTACATTCTTGCATGAATGCTGTGATCGATTGCAATGTGAAGAGTTAGAGTGCTTTTGCCATGTTTTGAATCTGACATCCAGTTTGAACAACATCGTAAATTGGTCATTTTCCAGTCCATAAGGTAGGATAATATGGATACTGAAAACTGCACTATTTGGGTGTCATGCATGATATTGGTGATGCACTGTGTCACCTGTCAAACATCCATCCATCCAATTATTGATAATAATTGATTGAACAGTGGTTTGTAGAATGATTGTTTGGTACTGCACACCTTTTAATTTTGATTTTGAGGAGTAATTTTTCCTGTTCATGTGCATTTGTGAGGATTGATTCTTATATAATGAAGTTTTTATTATTATTTTTACTTACCTCTTATTTTTTTATTTCCCATCTCTCTATCATGTTCATGAAAATGAGCCATGAGGGACCTACATTCTTTTTATTCAGAGTTTTATTCAGAGTGAGCGTATGACCATGATGAGCTGACAGGATTGCATCATTCCATGACACTTTTCTTTTGCCTCCACAGAAGCCATGAGGGCTTGCCCTTCTAGTAAACTATGAGATCTTAAGGGAGCCCTGCAACATTCATCTTCATACACAGATGACAGATGCCTAATAATGACATAAACATGGCAGCACCCATTTTTCTTGATTGTAAGGCAATCCCCTGGCAAATTCACGCATGAATGACATTCATAGACAATTTCTTTAGATGACTTAAAACCCAGATAGTCCAGGATGACAAGTGAGCCTTAGCACCCCAAGTCAGACAAAGGAAGAGCTCAATCATCTCTTACTTTCATGAAAATCAGCAGAGATGCAGAGGAATTCACTTTAAGAAACTTCAACCATTATTTGACATCTTCACTGCTCTCCATACATCAGGATTTGAATGTCACCTGTTTTTTTGCTCCCAACATCTATCCTATAAGTAGAACTATCAGTGTTTCAGCAATACCTTTCTACCTAAGTAAAACAGAAGCTGCATCTCAATTTCTCAATACAGATATATTGCCTATTTCTAGGCAATCTTTTTAGATCTGATCCAGACGCGCATTGAAGCGGCATATAGAGTGCGGGTTGGTTCACACAGGGCCTGCCCTAGTCATTTCAGCGCCCTGAGCAAAGATACTCCCAACATCGAGACCCCCCAGAAGGGAGAAGGGTCAATCCCTAGCTTCCAAAATGACGCCGAAACCGACCCCGAATGCGGGTAGTTCATCTCGGAAGTTCGGCGACTTCTGTCATCGCTCTCGATCGTCTTCGACCTCAAACACGCCCCATGATCATGATCTAATACGAGTCGAGAGAAAGTTGGAATGACGCTCCAGTGACTAGAATGAGAGGAAGCCCAGCTCCATGTCACATCTCGTCCTTCATGAAATCAGAAAACGTAGAATGTATTCCTAGATCTACAAATAAATAACGCTTTATATACAAATACATTTGTGCACCATAGTGTCATACAGTCAACTCTCAATATACCGCCACTGTTGGTCTCAACCGATTTTGCCGCTATATCGAGGGTGGTACTAAATCGAAACGCATGGCTTTAAAATTGATTTTAAAAAGTTAATTTACATAAAGTATGCCTACATATTCACTCTAATTGATCCACGCTGCTAATGTTCCGTGCCTCAGAATACACCTACTACACATCTTTGAAAAATGATTCTATCTATTCCATCCATGATTAAATCCAACGATTTTATATTTTTAATGAGTATAACTTCTATGCTCACATTATTTTCCCGAAACCCTTAAAAATCGTTCGCAAAGTTTTGCTGACTTTCGACCACATGCGCCTCCTTCTAACGGCATGCTTCAAATTTTTCCTTCACACTTAAAACCGTTCTTTTCGTACTCACTGGATAATGAATAATGGATCATTGGATAATGAATAAACTTTGAATTGCCGTCTGGAGAAGCTGCGTATAACCTGAATGAGACCGTTTCCATTCTCCAAAAGAAAAGGAAGGATTAGGCGATCCTATGTGCCCCTCTCTAATCTCTGGGGGTCTATTCTAACGCTGTCATCCCTCACAATCTTGCTATCATGCGACCGAAAGGAGCAATTGGCAGCATTACATTTTGTACACGGTATAATTGTGGCTGGTAAAATATGCTGCTTGGCGTAATACCGAGTAAGACTTATAAAGAATTAGACACGTTTGTGCAAGTGAAGGCAAATTGCATAACGGAATCGCGCGAAAAATCACAGTTCACTTTCTGTAGCATTCAAATACAAGGAACATCTGAAAAAGTTGATGGAAACTAAACCCGATGACTTCACCGTCACTCGATCCGTCGTGAAGCAATTCTTTATATGTAAGATTGAAGTAAATCAGGTAAGAGAGTAGAAAGGAATGAGATGGAATTGCACGTCTGAAACGCCGCTTCCACCATCTCGTTAACGCTACGACCAATGATAAATTCTTATATAAATGCTGCAAGTTCATGAAGATGCTGCGCGAAGTGCGATGAAAATTACAAAAAATATAATGAATAACATGGAATCCAAAAATGAGCATGCATAGCAGTCGATTAATTAAAAAGCTTGGTGGAAACGGTGATGAGAATGCGCAAAACTCATTGTCTTTCTTCTCGACGCCTCCACGATAGCATGTGGGGCCGAGGGTGACATGTTTCTTCAATTTTACACGACGAACACAATAACTCGCACAGAGGGAGAAACCGCGCGCTTCACCAGAAAAATCGCTGTTTACTCAGTTACGCAGAGGAATGGGAGAAGCTGGAATGTGCTTAGCCTGCAATGCGGTCTACCTGGACATACACATACGAGGTCTGACAATAAAATAACGAGACTGACGACACTGCATTGCGTGGGGCAACACTGGGTTAGTGGCGATTGTTGTAGCCTGTCAGTGCATGTCTTAGGTTTGTCCAGTAAAAAACTTGTGATATTTCTAGTGATTGCAGAGCTTTAACTAAAGTAGTGTTAGGGGCACTCGTCAAGAAATGGGTGATAAATATTGTGAACGAAGAATCAATGTGAAATTTCTAATCAAACTCGGGAAAAAACCAACCGAAGTCTTTGAAATGTTGAAACAAGTGTACGGAGATGAGGTTATGTCCAGAGCACGTGTCTTTGAGTGGTGTAATAGCTTTTCTGAAGGTAGGGAAGAAGTTGAGTTTGACCTGGACGTCCGACAACTTCAAAATCAGATGAAAACATCGAAAATGTGAGAACTCTGGTGCGAAGTGATCGCCGTCTTACTGTCAGAATGATTGCGGAAGAATTGTGTATCAATAGAGCGACAGTACGATTGATTTTGACAGAATGTTTGTGCCAAAGAATCTCACTGACGACCAACTGCAGCACAGGAGGGAAATTTGTGCTGATCTCCAGAGAATTGAGGAAAATGACGAATGGCTGAGCAGTCATTACTGGGGACGAAAGTTGGGTCTTTCAGTATAACCCTGAGACAAAGCGGCAAAGCATGCAGTGGAAAACTCCGGGTTCACCCCGTCCCAAGAAAGCTCGGATGTCAAAATCAAAGGTTAAGACAATGTTGCTGTGCTTCGACTGCAAAGGGATAGTGCATCGTGAGTTTGTTCCTACTGGTAAAACAGTCAACCAGCAGTTTTACCTGGAAGTTTTGGAACGTCTGAGACAGCGGGTTCGTCGTGTGAGGCCGGAATTGTTCCCCGACAAATGGATTTTGCACCACGATAACGCACCTTCACACACAGCGCTTTCAAAGAGTTTTTGGCAAAAAAATCAATCAGTACTTGAACACCCCCCTTATTCACCGGATCTCGCTCCGTGTGACTTTCTTATTCCCTGAAGTCAAGAAACACATCAAGGGAACACATTTCGAAACCGTGGAAGAGATTCAGAAGGCTACGACGGGCGTTCTAAACAGCTTGCAGGAGATTGACTTCCAGAAGTGCTTCGACAGTTGGAAAAAACGCTGGAATTCATGTATAGCTGCAAGAGAGAACTACTTTGGAGACCATCACAGTTTACAATAATATGAAATATATAGCTGGATACAGTCTCGTTATTTTATTGTCAGAACTCGTAGGTCCGGCAGGAAGGCAGAGCAGCAGGCTCCTCTGTTGACACTTCACGACTAACCATATAGTGAAACAAAATTTCGCATCCATCTAATTTCGCTATTTATTGTGTCTCGCAAAATTTCATCAATGTGGACCTACTGTATCTTTACCAAGGTATCTACTAATAACAATAATTGAATAACAACAACTGAATTCTGGAAATACTACATGAGGAGAAACTATGTAAGCTTTAGTTGTGAGCATATCAGGGAAAATAAACACAGGTGAAGCCATGCATAATGAATGTTGTCATTTCTTGTCAATACAACATAGTTCAGTCCAACAAAAATGAAATGAAACCAATGCTAAAATAATATCAGGTCCAATATGAGAATAAGTGACCTTTTGAGTCCCTCTATCTCAAATGAACTGTCCGACAATTAGCTGACACCATACAAGGAACCAGTAGAGGTACCTCAAGTCCCCTTGCTCCTCAACATCATCTTCATCTGTGCTCATTAGTTCTCTCATGATCATCTTCATTGGCCCTCTCATCATTGCCAGCATCAGTTTCCTCTTCGTTGTCCTCAGTTGCTTCTGCTTCCACTGTGATTTGCTGAGACTCTGCATCAGATGCAGCATGTATACATAACACATTGCACAAAAGTGTGTTCCTTTCTAATCTTTTACTCCTGCTATAGATCAACCAATTTAACAAGGGCCACAGCAGCCCATTGATCTGCTCTAACTCTGAGATGGAAGTGAAGAAAATAAAGAAAACAATGCTCTGTGACACTGGCAATCCTGTCCCAAATGCAGGCACAATATAGGGTAAGCAAAATGAAGCTCACCCTTCTCCATTTGATTGCTACACATGCCAATGTACAAATTATGACACTGCAATTTTCTATCTTGTGAGCCATAGAAAAATTATTGCATAAAACCTGTATGTTGCATTTCCCTGAAATGTAGCAAACTAGATCAGGGATAAGTGGCACTAATGATCCTACAAATTGCAAGAGCATGTCATAATTAGTACAGATGTAGCAATCAAAAGAAAAATTGTAAACTTTTTCTGGCCCACCCTGTATATTTGGTGGTTTCCCTTTAGACGAGCCTGCAAGAATATTCCACAGCAGTTAATCATCAGAAACATTTGCAGGAGGTAAATGGAACTCTATTCCCTTCTCAATGCCTAACAAATGCAAAATTTTCTGAGGAGCATTTAGCCCTGGTTTATGATACCTCGAGATACTTCTCTCTCTTGTAGAAGCCCCTTCCTTTGCTGCTGAATGTCATCAGGGAGATTGGTCACCAAACGATTTATGTAATTGTCCAGCATCAGAAGACGACGGTAAGTCTTGACCTCACATCGGCAGGAGGGGCATGTCTGCTGCATCTTGCACCATATTTCAATGCACATGGAGCAAAAAGTATGCCCACAATCCACAACAACAGCCTGAAAAAATAATTAAAAATGACACAAGACTTATGGCAAATTCATGTGGCAGTTGATATACTCCCCTTTTATATTCCATCATCTTTTTATATTCCAATCAATATCAGACCAACCAACAATCCTTCACTCCCAGTCTAATAGCTGACAGGACTATACCAGAAGGCCAAACCTAAATGTTCAGAACTTTATCAACATCATAGAAGTGAGGCAATTTGCAAATACTTGATTTCACATGAATCTGAAGGTACCAAATTACTATTCAGTGCCTACAATGTGATAGCTCCCATTAGTGGTATCATATTTGAAGCAAAAGTCCCCTCAAAATTATCCCTATACAGTTGTAAATATGAATGAAAATGAAAAAAAAGAAGAAAAAAATTCCAATGAATCATCATTTGGTTTCAACTGTTTACCAATGGCAGACAAAATCTTTGGGATGTAATCCAGGAGTTTGAGTTGGAAAAATGAAATTTTGCATAATTTTTTGGAACAGTACATTCCACCATAGTCCATGAACCAGTGATGACCCACTTCCTACCAAAATTTAGACCTTCATTGAATATTATGGTAGGTGTGACTGGAACAGTGGCTGCAAAAAAATATGCATATAATTCATGAATGTTGTTGCACTTTCCTGCCATCCACATGGTAATCATTCAATCCAAATTCAACCCACACCATGAAAATGCATCAGGGCATCCTGGAAATAGCAATTATGCAAGGATTTTCATCCTCCAATGATGGGAGTAGAATGCTTTATATTTTACTTTATTTTACAAGAGGTACATTTACTGAAGTTACCAGCAATTTCAGAATCAGGGTTTGGCTTGAACAGAGTTTATTTCCAGGAATTTATTGAAGCAGGGAAGCCAGTGCTGGAAGCCTTGAAAGCTGGGAAGCAGAAAAGGGTGATACAGAGATAGCAGGAGCGCAGTCCCAAAAGAGTAATCAAACTGGAGAAATGGATGGCATGGAAGTAGACAGCAAGAATGATCCTGCAGAAGAAAAGGTATGTTGGGTTTTACACTTTTAGGCTTTGGTGCTTCTAATTGGGATTCCTGATTTCTTGACTGGAGGACTGAATGATCTGGTTGTTTTTTTTCCTGCACAAATAGAGGCAAAAAAAGAAGAAAAAAAAAAGGAACATCTGAAAAAACATAATTTTCCAAGTCTTATTGAATGCTTTCTCTCTTATCTGTGGTGCCTGTTCTGCAATTTAGCTCACATAGCCAAAAGCTGTCAATATACAAGTGTACTACAGTTAAACTACATCAGTACATGGGAGAAAAGCAGTTTGAGTCATCATACACTAGTACAACAATAACATAATCTCATTGTAATCAAAAAGCAATTGCTTATGGAAAGATAACAAATATTTACTGGAATGAGTTGAGACAAACCTGTACATATAGCTCATTGCAAATGGGACACTGGAGTTCAGTCTCCATAGTAACTTCAAGCTGCTTGAAGCTTCTTCGTATTTTCTCAATCTCTGTTTCCATGTCCTTATTTTTCTGCCTTTCCTCCTCCATCATCTTCTCCAGTTCTTCCTTCTCCCTCTGCAAACGCTTCTTTTCCAGCATCCCATCGCTTAGCTGGTTGTTCAGGAATATCCCTTTTATGCCCTATTAGAAAAGGTTCATAAACACATCAGGACTACATATAGAAGCAGATTGAAAATACTTCAGACACAAATTTCCCAGTCTCATTTATCACTATGACACCATGAAATCTAATTCTTCCACATTGTATTGATAATAGGAAACCATCTCTCAGGTTCTTTTATGAAATAGTGAGGAACTTAAACTTTGGCTCTTAGTTTTAATTTTAGTAGATGAATCCCATTTCCTACAAGGGTGGGAAAACAAGGGAAACTGGTAATTTGGTTAGTTTAAGGAGTTCTATGAAGCTAACCATTGCCCTACAAACCAACAAGGCTAAAGTCACAAATTACCCAAGTTCATCCAGGCAATCATTTCCTGCCCCCCTCATGTTTCCATGAGAGCTGACCTCAAGGAAATGCAAACATTTGTGTCTTATCTTTGGGTCTTAATAAAAAAAATTGTCAACATTTAATCAGTTATATTACTGTCACCAGGAAATAATAAAAAAATCAAAAGGAAAAGGAAAGAGAAGGAAAGGAGATGGCAACTAGTTTTATAATACTTGATGATAAATGCAATGTTGCAGGCCTTTATAAACAAACCAGAAAATTTAATGGAATCTCACAGGTTCATATATTGCAAGAAATAAGCCTACCCAGTACTATCAATACATTGATGGAGGTAATTTTCCCTGCTCACTTAACTGAAAAAATGACAGCTTGCCAATTAAGACAGGATATTCCCTCACCTGTAGATGCTGCCTGAAGAACTGCTGAGGGCCACACTCTACTGTATGGTGTCGGGTGTGCCCCAAGCTGTTAAGAAGGGGGTTGGGTACCCCCACAACTTTCCTGGATCCTTGTCCTAGCATCATAGAATCTCTTTGTCCTGGAGGTCCCCACCTGTTCCATCCCTGCAAAACAGATTTATCCCAGGCTGAATTATAAATAAGATGAAAGAAGACACTATATATTGGATTAGGCAAATCATCAGACAATATTAACACCACTTTTTATGACAGGAAATGCGACAGATACCCAAAACACAAACAGAGGAAGGGGGTGCCTGTTTGGCACAAGATTTTCACAAGGGATCAGTGTTCCATGGGTAGGTATGCACCTGTATGAACCAGATAGAAGCTTTAGGAGGAGTTCATTGGTTGCGTAGACCCACGACTGTCACTAGTGATTTTTAGGGTACTGTACCCAAATCTCCCAGATGTGGCACATGAAGTGGCAGGTGTGCTGCCCTACATTATGCAATGTAGGGGCAGCAAACCTGCCACTCCCTACACCTCCCCCATGAAAGCAGGCTTTTCTATGGGGGAAGAGGACACCACTGCCTGGACTTGATCCCCCACCTTCTAGGTTTCACTCAGAAGCCAAAACTACTTTGGCACTGAATTTGGTCAATCCACAGGTGATAATATTAACTGGTATCACTTGTTGCTCTCCCTCACCTGTCAAACCAAATCAGACAGTTCTCATCTTTTATAAACTGGAAATGAAGGTAGTGAGTGGGGCATTGATTGCAGCTTGCCCAACAAGTGACTCAATTTCACCCTTGCAGGTATCAAAACTATGGCAAATTTGTTCAAAAAAGTATTGTTGCAATCATAATCCATTGCCCCTGTTTTATTCCCCATATTTTTTTTATAGATAACGATGGGATGTCATAGCCACCACCTCCTTCATGCTGGTCAATGACTTCAATCATATGTTTTTGTTGGATGGCAAAATGGCTGAAAAAGACAACCACCTGAAAGAGAAACATTTCCTTTCTGTTCAAAAAATATCTGGAATCAAAGTTAAAACTTTCTGACTGCCTGAGTGTGCTATAAATGAGAACAAATACAGAGTGTGAAAGTTATATATCTCAAACCTTGACAAATCAAATTTCTCATAGAGACAAAGACTTTTGTATTGTCATAGTTCCTTGCCATATACACAAGTTGCAGATGTATGGATTTATTCTTTTTGAGGAGCCAAATTTCTTGCCACATCTAACAAATATCTCCTCTTTGTCCAAACTAGGGAATTCTATACTTCAATTTTATCGTTTCATGATTATACTGTTCAATTTAACCATCTACAATGCTGTCTTGGATTGAAATTCACAAAAATGGGACTGAACTACATTTCTCACATCATAATCCCCACCTGCTGAACGTACCACTGGTTTTGCTTGACTAGGAGTGATGAGGATGATGATGACCAATGAATTCACTACAGTTTCATTTGTTCCATTATTCAGAATGCAGATAATTGCTAAAAAGGAACACCTTTGACTCAATAAGTCAATTTTTCCCTCTTCCCTAAGAGATTTGAGTTCATGATTCTTCACAATAAGTACATTCCCCAATTAGAAGAAAGTCTTCAAATGAATACATGGAAAATTCCTTTATGAATGATGAAGTCAAGAGATACTACTAGGATTAGAAAGTCCTTTCTTTTGCTAATCCTCTATTAATTCTGCAAATAAAAATAATTAATTGCACTACCTAAACAAGCAGTATTCAAAGTGTGACCCAGTTTTTATTACCTTGCTGCTGAGCGGGATTTTAGGAAAAGCAGAATTAAACCTTAGAAATACAGTCAACTCAAGTAACATCACCACATGATATAGTAACACCCTTGCTTATCACCAACTGCTTCCTGTGGACAAACCTCCCCATAAGCTTAAAATAAATAATATGGTTAATTTGATATAGTGCCATAATCAACAATGACCAACAGTGGTGTTACATTAGAGATTGACTGCATGTAAGATTTACCAATGCAAATCAGTTCTGATGGCCTCTATGTGACCCTCCTCTCAAAAAGTTTTGGAACCACTGATATAAATATAACAATAATATGAAGTACATTAACACTTTGACTGCTGAGGATTGAAATGCCCAGTCAACCTCTCCTTGCCAAGCACTTTTCAGAATGGCAGTGAAGGTTCACTGCCCTGAACATGTCAAGACTGCTGGGGCACAATGGGCTGTGGTCCGACAATAATTGAGTGGCGCAGGAAGAAATCTTCAATAAAGACGTCTCTCGCACAGCGTCTTTCAAGGAAGTATACAATGTTTCACTGATTTGAACCCCAAATCTTTGGAAAATCAATCTTGCAATTCCAAATTTTTACTCTTTCCTGCAGCCAAGTAGATCCCGTGCTCTATTTGGTTCATAATTCCTGAAGTACCCATTTATGAAACACATGAAAAATCTTTTGTCATTCATGTTGCTCCAAATTGCTGAAAAAAACTCCCCACAGTTTTATTCCTAATACAAGTACCAATTTCTGGGAAGAAGCAGAATAGTGCCATCTAATGCCAAAAAAAGATACGGCCCTGAAAAGTCAGAAAAATGCACATTTTTCACCCATTCCTGGAAATTCCTTGTGACTTACAGGGGGATAAGATCACCAGCTGCAAATAATGCACCATTTTTGTTAGGACATTACCTCACTCAAGGGTACAGGCCAAATAGAGATTAATGCAGTCTTTCATGGTTCACTTTTTTCAAAAATCAGTCAGATTTTTGACAATATTGAGGAAAATTTCAATGTCGTCAATTTAACAGTATCGGAATAGCATTTTTGTTCCCCCCATCTACAAAATATTACTACATTTTCATGAATCTGGGTTCCTATGTTTGTGGGAAATTTTTGTGACAAATCTGAGACACTGGATTTTTTTTGGCCTATTATTGCCTGCTATCCCACTGTGCTGGGATTGAAATGTCCAGCCAAACTCTCTTTGCACTTCTCCTGTGCCGAACATGCCATGTGGCATGAATGGTAGTCAAAGGGTTAATTAATAGAAATATGGCCCAAAAATTGAGGTAACATATCTTCAACAATTTTTAGCAGGAATTTATGCAATTGATGTGGATAAATGAAGGAATGATCAAGTCCAAATATACATACCTCACTATAAGGATAACAAGAGTAGGTAGATTGACCAGAGGTATGGTTGAACATGGGTCTGCTTTCATAGAGGGAAGAAGTTGGGGTTGGGTAACCCATACTTGAGTATTCTCCCATGCTTGGATGAAGTTCACTTGCACCTCCTGGAATACAAATCAAGCACCTTATATGTCCTCCAAACAGGCATTATCATACGGGATGTCAAAGGTGAAACGTTTCCGAAACAAATGCTCATGTCATGATGGCAGTGAATGCCCTTTGCCTCTTGAATAATCCAAGATTATTCGTTTTTAAAAGAATCTGTTGTATTTTCTGAAGGATCTAGAAAATGAGTAACATTTTCTTTGGACTTAGGAAATCATATTACCAATGTAGACTATTATTTAATGTGGAAACACTCTAGGATATGCATTGATTTCTCATCATTTGGCATGAGGATTGACATGTTTCATTCAAGGGCAGAGTCAAAGGATACTTAAATGTGTTTTGAACAGAAAAATGACATCAAATACAATCTACTCCACATATCGGAATACTCCCAGGACCAGTGAACTTTATTCTATAATCTGGAGTATTCCAATAACCAAAACTATCTTCTGCTGTATTGTATCATAATTCGGGACCATGCAATGGTATTCCAATAAGTGTAATCCATTATGCCGAGTTGACTGTAACATGTTTCGCAAGGTTAAACAGCAAAATCCATTAGCAACATAATTTCTGGACACACCAAATATTGTATTAGTAATTATACCAAATTGGTCTGAGTATAGGAAGGGTTTTACTTCACAAGTATCAATAAAGAGTGCCCTGGATAACAATTTGGCTTAATTCATCTGTTTGAGGTCGATGTCATGAAATTATTAGAGTCCATTATAAAATAAAATATTAGGGAGTTGCCTCGTATTTGAGGTTGCCTTACATTCAGACCAATACACTATACACCAGTCAGTATATGATGCCTACATACTCCTGGCTGGTTGGAAAAAATATTCATAAGCTTATATTCTGATGTCTTTGATGAAGGCACCCTTCACCAGGATGATAAAACTGAGTAATACGATGATGCAATGGGGCCTGATTCTCATGACGTGACATCCAATCTGGTGATGGGGGTGGAGGCATCATTTTGTTCTTGGAAGGATACCTCCAATAAGAAAAATATTCATCTCTTGTCCCTGTTTGCTGATTCATTCCATGGTTTGGTAGTGGTCTGGTTGGCATCCCAAAATTCTGGTTTCCTGGAGGAAAAAATGCAACATTGACTTTCCAACATAAAGGCACCTATAATAAAAGATGGACCAATATGCATAATTTCCCTGTTAGACAGGTCAAAAATGACTGAATAAGCTTTTTTCACCAAAGGCTCTACATACAGGAGTTAGTTTTTTTGCATAGTTCTCCAGAATGCCATAATAAAGTTAATTATAGTCATGGTCATGGTCATATATCTACAGCCAGATTTACTCACTTGGCATTGTTTTTGATATGCTGGCATGTCACATTGTGGTCAATGTGTTAAGCTGCTAGTCATGATTATGAAATTACTAATTTTTTTTAAAACCTTTTCCTGGTGTTGAAGATATGATTCTCTTCAGTGTATTTAGGAATGCAGTAAGAGGTATTTTAAAAAGTAGGGATTTTGGATCCAAATGTTCATTATACCATGAATTTTTGCCTCTGAATGGCCTGCTTTCAAGCCATGTTTCAATTTCTATGGCATGATTTTTCTCTTGATACCATTCATGTGGTGAAAAGCACCTAAGGAGAAAGTGAGGTTTGAGTAAGAAGGCCTTTTTGGGAAGGACATTGCAAAGTGTCATTTTGAGTGTCTACGTTTGTTGGCAATTTCTTATACTTTAACTGCTGTTACCTTGATTTTGGGATGTGATCAGCTTGCTACATGATACCTACTCTATTTTTCATCAAAGGGTTTCAGACATCTATATTTCTGGTTATGCTCCCAGCCTTAAAAATAACTTTAAAACACTTTGAAAGGGTTCTCTTTGTTAATCTTATTCAGATCTACAGAGTATGGCCTAAGTACTTTGACCTTGGCAGTCAAAGTGTTAAGAAGACTTAGTACCTTTGCAGGGCCATTCAATACCTAAATCAATTAAGTTGTTGAATAATCCTCAAGCAGTTAGCAAAACCATTACAATGAGGTTTTTGTGAGTCGCTGACAAAATTCCTTCAAGTCATTCATTTCATGTAAGCACAGTCCCCTACAGTAATTCCTTCTGGTTCCCAGAATATCAAATCATAGCTTACATTTTCTTTTTGATTTCCTGGGGGCACAGAAGAGCTTGGAAACACTCAGGTATCAACAGAGCAAACAAAATTTTGATTTCTAAAAGAATTCTGCTGTTCATTAATTTACATTTGAGTGTCTCTGCATACTCATCACAATCATACAAGAAAATTGTGAGGTCCAAAGAAGAACTGTCTCTCAGAAAGGGCATGGGCCGACATGGTTTTGAATGCCTTAGGTCATCTCAAGGGATGCTATGTCCCTAGGTCTTATTTTATTGCTTTTGGGATCCAGATCCTGCACAATTCTAGCTCTGTTAATTGTTTTTTATGTTTTTGATTGGGGTTTCAAATCCCATCTAAACCCAGGTCCCACAACTGCTCATCAAAGCTGTGCAGAGGAGAGAGGCAGACCTGGTCTCATGTCATCCCCCCATGTGTTATTAACCTTTTTCCTGGTGTCGGCGTAGTTTTACGTCGACATCCTCAAAGTGTTCGCATATCCCAGCCAGGGAAAGGGTTCCACACCCCAGTTCCACACCCCTTTGGCTTCCACACCCCAGTTATCTTGTGTTGGCCTAATGCCAAAGGATGGAAAAAAACTCAGATTGAAGGTGATGACATAATCAAAATACTTGAACACCAAAAGGTTAACAGCATCAGAATTTAACTCTTTGAGGAGTGGTTTCTTTAATGCCTGCAAGATCCCCCATAGTGAATATATGGAGGGCAGGAGGATGTTAGCCCATATATACAAGGGCATACTCCTGAAAGGGTTAATTCAAGTCATATCATCCTTTCCTATCTGGAAGTTAAACCACTGTTCCTCCTTCCTTGACAGACTATCTCAGTGAGTTTTGTAGCCACAAAAAGTAGATTCTTGCAGGGATACCATGAACAACCAAATATCAATGAAAATAAAAAAGGAAATTCCAGAACTCTGGACAAACCTACCTTTAAGATAGACATACCTCTGGCATGCATGGGGGGTCCATCCATGCTGGGATGCACAGATCCAAGTGGGACACGAGTTCCACCTATGCAGCCATGCTCTCCTAAGTGGCTCACCCAACTGAACTTATCCTCCATATCATTTGGTGCTAGACTGCCGGTAAGATACATCTTCGGTCCCACTGCTGCCTTCAGCATGAAAAGGCTGCTTCGGAAGATCTGTATTATATACCTACAAATGGACAATTCAATTCTGCAACAAGCTACCAGAATATCCACTCATAAAAGACAGAAAGGATTCTATATCTCTCCCTCAGAGCCTCTATACTACCAAAGGTATCACTGCAAGTTGGGTTAAAGAGGTCAACTTCATGTGGGGCATTCCAGTCACATCTATCACAAAAGGAAAAAGAAATTCTATTGGAATGGTTTCAGTTTTCATGAAAATATCTAAAGCTCAAAATAAGCGAAGGTTAGGGTGTGCTGTTCATTATCTGCAACTTCCAGGTGACTAATATTCAGAGCTGAGGCTGGGATAGTATCCAGGGGAAGAGGGCAAAAGCCTTGGTCATTCATTTCTCTAACATCACGAATTTGCCATGATTTCTTGCAGCAATAGGGTGTTCCCAGTTTGTTGAGCAGATTATGAAATGCTGAATAGTAGAAAAACACAAATCATGCCTGTAACTTGGATAAAGGAATTTATAGTAGTAGGCAAGGATGGGGAAGGGGATGGGAGGGAGAGCAGTTTGAAGCTGAAGCCTCATTTCTGAACATGTTCTGATTCCTTCATCCTTGACAGCCTTTCTGTCCCAAGCTTACCATACCAATCTCAGCCTAAAGTTATCATAGATCCCAGAGCAATTTTGTTCATTCACAATCTCAACAAATGAAGTTCTCCTAACTTCATATACTTAAAAGTGGAGAACCATTTATGATTTGTTAAAAAAAAAAATTGTTTAATTTTGCTATTGCTTTACTTCACAAATGACTCAAGAAAATTCACTAAGAAGAGTAACAACATATTAAAATATTGGCTTCTGTGCAATCAGTTACTGGATGTTATTAGCCAGAACTGCAATCAAAGAGTTGCATTTTTCCAGCTTTCAGGCTTTCCAACATAGAATTCCCTGTATTTGACCCCTAGCACATCTCATTCCCAGGTTGGAAATGGATGGGGAGATTCTCAAATTCTTCTATTTGATAATTTGACTGAATTTGAATGAATGATGACTAATTTGAAATAATTACTGAAGAGAACCACTGCATAGTTTATCTCTACTCCAGTATCAGTAGGATTGCCCCATGTTTGGCATGCCCATGCTTCCCCATTTTATCATTATGATTGCTCATCTTTCTTAGCACCTTACTGATGATTTGGCTATCACCAGGATCAGTCAATATGGCATCACCTACACAGTGGTTCCCAATTTTGGGTCGTGACCCAAATCGAGGTTGCAGGGGGGGGGTTCTCAGTAGGGTCGCAAAGGGTCAATATAATCAAATAAATATACTTACATATATATGTATGCATATTTATATATATATTTAAATTTTATCATAAGCCTGAGGGGTGGGAGGTCCTGTTGGTGGCCAATTTAGGGTCGCAGCAAAAGAAAGGTTGGGAACCACTGACCTACACCAATAACCACCAGCAAGAGCATATTGTTGATGCCAATGCCAACACCCCCTGCCCCAAGAAAAAAGGTGTCGTTAACACAAACCCTTATGAATGCAACCCAGGGAAAGGTTTCCTCACCTCTTCTCTAAGTAAAAGAAAAAGTGCTTCCAGCCACTACCATACCAAATAATACTGCATGGCATCTCTCTCTGTGGTAATACAGGTTGCAAAATATTGAATAATGGTTGGCTGGCTCCCCCTCCCTCCCCACTCTATCACCCACAATTGGCATCAGTACCCAGCCAATGTCTGTGAGACCATAAGTGGCATTGGCCCAATGACTGAAAATTGATGTCTATACAGCCTTAAATAATAAAATGCAAAAAGCCTAGATGCCCATATATCATTCATCAGTCCCATAATAAGCTAAAACTTCAATTTCCCTCCATCAACATTACACAGAATCATCAGACACAAAGAAGAGAGAACTTACAAAAGTCAGACAGGTGGGTCTAACAATAGAACTACCAGGGCAGTCATTTTGCTGTTTTTAAATGCACTTTGCTCATTTGGCAACTAAGAGCCTTCACAGTTGTTCCTTTTCCTATCTAATATTGACATTTTTAACATTTTATAATTTTGAACACACCAAATCAGCATGTAGAAAAAAAAAACAAATAAAATGTTAGAGAATAATAGATTTATACTACTTTTAGTACAGTGTTTAAACTGACAGCTCTGGTAGTTCTAGTGTTAAGCTAGCTGAAAAGAGGCATAAGACTGACCAAATCTATGGCTTGGTCAAGTCAGAGATTCCCTATGGGGCTATAAGCACTGTGGGTTGTGGGACAAGGACCACCTAGTTAAAGATGGCATCTACCACGATGGTCAGTTCACTCTAGCTCACAAAATTATTAACACATTGCTGGACTAGAACAAAGGCAATAGACTATCCCAGGCCTTCTTATTTGTATCCAGCTAACTTCCCACTATTTTTCCCTCAGCCATGGGCATAATATTCAAGAACATCTCATAGCTTTAGAGGTGAAGAGCTAGGCTAACTCATCCAGGCAATATATTTTTGAGACAAAAATAAGCAAAGCAAAAATTGGGAAACAAATTTTTCTTAAAAGCAAGTCTAAATGTTAAAAATTCATTTTTGGATCTATTTACAGGGTGAATTGGAAATACCTAGTTAAATCATGCATTTATTTTTATTCTTGCTTCAGAGTCACTCTTGTAAAACTGAAAGGATGAATCTGAAACAAAAAATAAAACTAAGTTTACTGGGTATTTTTAGATCACCCTGTATCACTGTAAATGAAAGACATGAAATCTGTAGTAAATATTAATTGTTCAGGCAACAGGAGCCTATTGGACTCCTGGTGCATGAGTAAGGATTAAGTTCATTAGACACATCAAAAGTGAGATCTCAAAACACTCCAACCTACCATTAGCCACATTCAACTTCAGATATGCTAGTGGTGACAGATAATTGAATCATGGAAGGAAAAAGCAGAAAAACAACAGGTTTTTCTGGAAATTCTCAGAAACTACATTGAGGTACATTGAAATACAGACCTTATATGATAGTAATGCACTGATGAGTATCATCAATTCTCTGCTAGAGCAATAACTTCTCACCTTCTTGCCCACAAAGGCAAGAAGAAAGAAAATATGAAAATGCCTAAATGGACAATTTGCTGTTAATTCCTTCACCCTCAGAACTGATGCTGCTCATAGGTATGAATTAGGAATTGTGTTCATATCTTCAGAGAACTTTTGTGTGCTAGCAAGATCATTTTGTGAAAATAGGTATTTTCCCAACATTAGAAAATGGCAAATTTGCATAAAATACTTATGCACCAGAAAATATTTGTGTGTTTGTTGATACAAGACAAAAAAATCAAGGATTTGACAAAATTTGAAAATGATACAAAACTGACCTGTTCAAACACAACAGAATTACCTTAAATTCATCAAATGATATTAAAAGTTTAACTATAGCTCTTGAAGGAATCAGTGGCTATGACATGGATAAACAGGCAATTTATAAGCTGTATAATAATGGGTGAATCAAGCTTCACTCTTATGCCTGGGATGCAAAATTATCATGCTTAAAAGAGTAATAAAACTTATACTATATAAGGAACCATTCAGCATGTATCCACTTTGTGCCCAAGACTCTCCAGAAAAAAAAGAACAGCCATGACATATACTCTTGGATGAGTCTCAGGGAAATGTATTAAATCATGACAACTGAGCAATATGAAGTCCCAAGGAGATGTGTGGGCAAAACTGATCCAAAAAACAGTTCAACGAAATGAAAAGATGGAGCACATCATTCATAATTAATAGATTTTTTTAAATCTTCAGTGGCAAGAAAGTGAATTCAGAGAAAGTGAATGTCCTAAATATATGAAATTGACAGACCCAGCTGACAATTTTGGACCAATGAACTTCCAGGTTGCCAATTTTTCAGTAATGAGTTTTGAATTTAACATCCGGTTGTGACCTCTGCAGGTTTGATTGCTGATTTGACAGGTCAGCAATCAAACCAACATGGGATTTTTCAGAATATGGATTGCAGTCAATCTAATCTTAGCAACTGGTTCAACAACACTGTAGAATGAAGCAATGAGTCTGTGAGGGAAAGAAACAAAGTGGATAGAAGAAAGTGTGGTGAATTTAACAAAGATGAGATTTCCTTGCAATTTATGCCCCTCAAAAATCTATTACTTGTTGACAGATTGCATGCATGAACACCTTTCTCCCATCAAGAGGCACTTAAGAAAACATGGAGGCTATTTGGAAGCCAAGGTCTCCCACCTGTCTCGCATACGTTGGCGGTGCTTCTTCAGTGCTTCCTCAGCAATGTCATCATTGGCAAACTGTACATATGAATCTCCCATCTCCTTCCTTGATAGGTATATCCCTTTCGGAACCATCTCCAACCCTGGACAGTCCATGATCAAAGAAAATAGAGATGTTCCACCAAGTCTTTAAAACCTTGATTCAGCCCAGTACCTATATATGAGAGGATCCAAAATAAGTACTTAATTTAAATTGGGTTCTTACCTGAAATGCTGAGATTCTCTCAAATGAGCTTCACACATTAACACAAAGAAAGCTCCAACTTTTCAAACATAATTACTGGAGCTAATGATGAAGCAGAATGCATACTAACCAAAAGCAAGTGATAATGCCACAAGCCATAATAGGGGGGAATTGTTTAGTGTCCTCTGCAGAAATCAGCAAGAATCTTCATTGTCCTCATTCTCTCTCCATCCATCTCATTCCTTTTGTTGTATGTACTAACAAGCCCACAGTAAAATACACTAGGGCCAGTCAAATGAAGACAGCAACCAATTTATATTAGTTGTGCATGCAGCATTTATTGAAAAAACTCCATGGGCACTGAGGTGCTTGTCCCATCAATCAACCTGATTTATATTTATTTATATTTATTCCTTTATCTTGCCTAAATGAGGCTTGTGCATTCGGGCATCAGTCTCATTCTAGTTTCCAGAAACATTAACTGCATATAGACCTAAGCTGGGATCAAACCAAACTCAATGTTGTCAATATCTCTATGAATGGCACACTTCATTCAACTTACTGAAGTCAGATTTCAGCAGAATACACTTCTGGGTAATACCAGTTTCTTACATTAAACCACACAATATGATTAATAAATTATGGTCATGAAAACACCAGAGCATTGTTGTGAGGGTTGTTTCCTATATGAGCACACAAATTCATGAAAAACTGTCCATTCATCAGAAACATACCTGAAAAGAAATTTACAACTTCCTCCTTTCTGCAGTCTAATGGAAGTCCCTTCAATCGTATACAACCATCCTGCTTGTAATTGGACCCACCATATTGTGGTGTGAGATTCCATGCCATCACACATCTCATGGTGGCATATACTGAAGAAAGGAAACAAACAATTGCAGTGAGTCTGAAGCATACTTAGGCTTACTGAATTATATCTCTATCAGAACTAAAGATGAAAGACTGGCCTGATTCAATAGGCAAGGCAAAGACTAGAAGTTATCTCATTCTAAAAATAACTATAATTTCCTAGGTGACTTGAGCCATCCCCTCATCATAATGTGCCAAAGATCTCTGGCTAACCTTGAATGAATCTAAGACCCATTTTTTCATTATCCTTTTTTAGTGCCTTTTCTATATCTGCCTGGGATTCCATTTCAATGTAGGCTTCCTCATTTGGGTACACAGTGAAATGAACACCATCTCTGCCTCCCTTCACTTTGGCAGCTGGAATGGATACAACACAGAGTTGAACACAAATCACCACCACAGATTCAATTCTTGCCTACAAACACAAAATTATTATAGATAAAATGCCCTTACGTGCAAGGAACTGGATGACTTCCTCACGTGTTGCTGACCGAGGTAAACCACACATACGGATCACATGGTCTTCCTTACCCATTTTTTTTTTTAGGATGAATGAGGGATTCTCCACCGAAGTGATCTTAATAAGATGATAGTTGTTAGGATGGGCTTTCAGGAGTTTTAGAATGCCAAATATTAAGGCAATAAGTAGTCACTCTGTAGGACAAGGACAAACCTCTACACTTGGAACAAAAGCAAAGACCAGATAAATAACAGAAAGCTACTGAAGCTCCATTAACCTACGAAATCACAACACCATAATGACTTACATTCCAGCAAAAAAAAGTATCTTTCCTCTGACTGAATTAAATTTGTGAAGCAAATGATAAAAAAGTCTGACATGACTGAGACCCAGACCTTTGGATAAAGGTCAACCTTCCAAGATGGGTGGGCCCTAAGCCCCTATCCATTCACTTCAAGCAGTATCTAGCAAGTCTGGTCTGCATAGTCCCTATCATTGGCATTCATAGCTGCAGATATCACTTAGGTTTTATGATGACTTAGGAAGTATTGTTAAAGTCATGGCTGCAAATGCTGCCTGTACAATGTTCTTCGATTCATCCAAGGTCAAACAGTCCTGGCTGAACTGATTCTTCACAAACAACTACAATGGTCATAGGTTGTGAGGTCAGGGCTTCAAGGAGGCCATGGTATATCTGATCCACATCCAATCCACTAGCTTGATGTGTGCTTAATGATCTAGGCATGCAATTGTAAACTGATAATAGAAAGGGACTCATGCCCCACCCTTACAAGCCAAAAAAAATAACTTTTCACAGAACTCTTGAAAAAAAAAAAGGTGAAGAAATAGCCTAGAAACTATCAATTGATGTACTTACAAATTAATGCATATCAGTATAAAATCCATTGAATATAAAACCTTTGAATACCATTTTAAAAAATGTATAAGCCAAACTGACCCTCACAGTTCCTAGCAATTGGTGTCTCGTGGAGGAAAAAGTGAGGCAGGAAAGAAAAGGAAACCAGAAACAAAATAATAACTAGTAACATGGTTGATGCTGTGACATAAAAAGGTACCAATTTGGAATTTAAAATGATTTTCCAATAATCTAGAAGACCGGAAAGCAGGGATGGGTGCATTACTTAAAAAAAAAAACTATTTACAAAGTGAATGTTACTTTGGCAGAAAAGGACATGGTTCTCATGGATAGCTTATTATTTTCTTTACATTCTTATTACATTCTGGAAAAGAAAGCAATGGAGACTATATTGCCCTAATTTTTAATAACTTTTAGCATTTACCAAAGTTTATCAAATCAGTGGGAAGGGCTTCAAAATAGCTAACAATTGAATCTAGGATGAGCTTTATAGCTTCATTAGGACATAAATTTCACGGGGAAGACATTTCAGCCTCAAATTTTGTGACCTTGTACCAGAGAACCCAGGGGTTCAATGAATCCAATATTTGGTACGGGTTAACTACTCAACATTGTTAATAAATATACCAAGTTTCATCCAAAAAAAAGAGGTCACCTGAAAAATATCTCAAAGTTTGTTGATTTCACATGGAATGGCAGAAGCAATAGAAGCGGAAGAAGGATAGAGCAAAGAACTGGCCTTCATGCCTCTGCACAAAATCATGAAAAATCCCAGAAAGGCATTCCCTGTGAAGCTATTACAAAAGGGTGAAAGGGGCACGTCTTTGCTGCACATCTGGCAAGGCAGCAAGAATTGGTCATGTGATATTTAAGCCTCTGCTCTTGAGCCTAAATCATGGCTCATTCATTTCACTGAGCATCTCCCAGCCCACTTGACCTGTCCCTCTTCTTGTTAACATATGCTGGTAGCTCAGGCCTAACAGCCCAGTCTAACCTGTGCGTATTTCATATCCCACCACGCAAACCTCCTCCTTCCCCCTTCTTCCAATGCATTCATCCCACCAACCACAGCGGAAGCACATGGATGCATGCTGAAGCGGGATATCATACAATGTGGGCATCTTCGTACTTCGTCTTCCGGTGGTACGCCAAGGTCTATGTGGCGCTCTCAGCGCTGTCGTAAGTCTAAAGGTTTAATGAGTTGGAAACATTGCTTCTCTAGACTTCTCAATGAGAATATTAACCATAATTTTGAAAGTTTTTAACCCTGTGATGGGGTGTGTTTTTAAGGCATAGCTTGCGCTGCCAGGGTGTGTTTTTCGACGAACCACAGAATGTAAGAATAAGTATACTTTCATCGCTCCAATCACTGTATTTTTGTCTAGTTTGTAAACGGAACAGATAATTTTATTAATTTTTTCTATTTCCATACCAGATCATTCACTTTACTCTTCTTAGCTGCAGGTGCATCCCCTCAAGTATACCCTCAATCAAATATTGGCCCTAAGATTCCCTATCTTCACCAGAGAACTTGGAAATTACGGCATTGCTACATCAATCTTTATCGCTTGCTTCATCGCTAGACTCACTAATGAAAATTAAATTAGCAATTTAGTATGATGCAACAACTCTGCCTTTCTTGGTGAACAATATCAGATATTGTTGGACTGGGACTAAAAATCGGTCCTGGCATTTTTACTCACACCGGCCCTCCAGGGCCGGATTAAGAAGTTGCGAGGCCCGGGACAAGTGAATTCCTGGGGCTCCCCCCCCCCCCCCCCCCACCATACTTTACGCAAATAAAATATTTTTTTTTTAACTTAACGTTTTTAATTTCCTTCGGGGGGCCCCCTGGAAGAGTGGGGCCCGGGGCAACTGCCCCCTTTGCCCCCCCTTAATCCAGAGTTGCGGCCCTCATTGAGGCAGTGGTTTATAAGCCTAAACTGATAACTGAAACGAACTACTAGGCAATAATTAGACATACTTAATTGTTGGTGTAGTTGGGGGGGGGGGGCGTCAACTCTCAACTGCAAGGAGCAAGGAATGTCTTCCCCCTCCAACCGAAGGGTTGTCATATATATACAGTGTGTCCTGGAATGTTCTGTACCCTGAAAATTGAGGATATTTTTCACCTTTAAGGGGTATTGCACTTAAGGAGTCCTTTGAGTGAGCCTATTTTACTTTTGAATGCCACCCATTTATTCAAAGCAAGAGAAGACTGACATCGTGAAGTGGTATTTAGCTACAAGAAGTCCATCCTCCGTTCAGCAGAGGTTCCAGGTAAAATATGGGAGGGCTCCGCCTGCCAAAACGTCTATTTACAACCTCCATGTGAAGTTCCTGCAACATGGAAGTGTTGACAATGTGTGGGGTCAAGGGAGGCCAAAAACTGCAACGTCTCCTCCGGAGGGTCAGAGGGTCCTTGCAGAATTTCAGCAACACTCGGAGCAGTCCATCCGAAAGGCAGGATCAATTTTAAACAAGTCAAAAACATCAGTCCATAACATCCTGAAGGAGCACCGCTTGAAACCATACAAATTTTGTAAAGTTCAAGGCCTCAATGCGGCAGATTTCGAACAGCGAGTGAACATCTGCAATGATATCTGCAACAAAATTGATCCAGATGATACCTTCTTAAAGCACATCATCTTCAGTGATGAAGCTGTTTTCTACTTGGATGGAAGGGTTAACAGGTCCCATCTTCGCCACTGGAGCAGCCAAAGTCCATTTCGTGGCTCACCTAGGGTCAATGTGTGGGCAGGTATCTGGTACGGTGGAATTTTGGGTCCATATTTTTTTGAAGATCTTCCAGGAAATCCTCGAACTGTTAATGGTGCCAGTTACCTTGCGATGCTCCAGGTGAATATCATGACCGAGATTCGTCAGATCCCACAACGTCAACAGCAAATGGTACACTTCATTCCTCAGTTGCCTCTCTGGTATCAACACGACGGTGCATCAGCCCATAATGACAGAAGAGTTCACAATTTCCTTCACATGAACTTTCCAGGGTGATGGATCGGGAGAGGAGGTGCAATGGCTCTGATCACCTGATCCCCTGATCTGACCCCATTGGACTTTTTTCTTTGGGGTCGTCTAAAGAATAATGTTTATGCCACTCGACCTGGGAATATGCAGGCGCTGAAGGCTGCAATTCAGTTGCATGCATCTGCAATCCCACAGGATGTTTTTCCGAGAGTCAGAAACTTTGAAGAGGGAGTCCGAATGTGCCTTGCTTAAGGTGGACAACAATTTGAAAATGTGATTTGACTGTCTCAAAGAAGTTGCAGAACTAAATCATTCCGAAAAAAAAATTGTGAGAATTTTGCGATTGCCTACAAAGAAAAAAACACAACAGCACATGCATACTCGCTCATGGGCACCTTCAGGGTTCTATTCAACGGCACCTTTAGGTCGTTACCTGACTCCATGTGTCACTTTCAGGCTCACGGTTCAGAACTTTCAAGGACACTGCATATGTAGAAGTTGCAATTTCCTTATACATTATCATTGCAATGCAACAATTAAGGGAAAAAGTAAGGAGGAATGATCGTGAGGTATCTCAAGCAAGCAGGAATGCATGGAAACGATGTTGTGCCACATGGTTGACAAGGAAGAGATACATGCGGATCCAAAAAAATATCAAAAGGGGGAGTCATTTGAGCTCGACTTGACCGGCCTGACAACCTTGACCTGACCTGCCATTCCTTTGCCCTATCTCATGAGGTCCTATTTGTAGCCCCTTGTTTAATCCCCCATCTTCCTCTGTTAGCTCTCTTCACCGACTTCATCCATCAGTTCTTTTAAGCAGAAACATTTTTTTTTGTTTTATCTAAAGCAGGGAATGAATTATACTACGCAAAACTAGCAAGAGCCCCGGGCCAAGGGCGCATCGCCAGCCCGACTGGGGAGCCTATCAATGCGGAGATTAGCTGGAAATGTAGGTAGGCCTATTAGAAATGCCTGATAATGTTATTGTTTCACAGTTGGGCCTATTCCCAATATACAGGGTCTTGCACAATCTTTTGCTAGGGGGGTACAACCTTAAGTACAAATAGAACAATTGTAAGTTATATATCAATTTAAACCTTTATTCAACCTGAATACAGTTATGCATCAGTATTTTGTGTGACCGCCATTGGCTTCACGTACAGCCCTCAAATGTTGAGAACATAATTTCAACAAATTTTCAAAAAGTTATGCTTCATTTTTCATTTAATGGAATAACATTTTGGAAGTTTTGCGGGACAA